CACACACACACACGACACACACACACACACACACACACACACACACACACACACACACACACACACACACACACACACACCACACAGCACACAGCACACAGCACAGCACCTTCAGGTTGCGCAGCATCGTGGAGGTCCGCTGTCCTTATCGGTCCCGACAACACAAAGTGTATATGAGGTACAATGGTCCCTAATTTCAGGTGGAGATTCCACCAATGCATGAAAAATTCAAATTCTTATCACCGTCGTTCGTCGTTCGTCGTTCGTCGTCGTCGTTGTGTGCTGGTTGCTTCACCTCGCTCACACGCCACCACCACCCGCCCACGCTGCTTGTGCTTCGTGGCCTCCGTCGCTGCTGCCGTCGCTGCCGTCGCTTTGACTTGGTCGCTTGACTTGGTCGCTGACCTGCTGCTCACTCAATCCCTCCCTCGCCGTGTGACCTTCGTCGGCGTCACCCAGTACTGCTGCTGCTGCCGCTGCCGTGTCCTCACCGGCTGTGCGCTTCCTCACGAGAGCTGCACATACGCACAGACTGACACACCTCTGCATCAACAACAAGGACTTCCAATCACATACACAACCACAGCATACACCCTACTCAACACAACCCACAAAGGTACGTCTGCAGCTGTCCCTTTGACTGCAGTCCAAGAGCGTGACCAAGAGGATACGAGAGACAGAGAGACCCAGTGTGCGTGTGTGTGTGTACGTGTGTGTGTGTGTGTGTGTTGAGGCTGGTGCAACCGCAGCTGCTCGTCGTATGGGGGGTGCCTGCTGCGAATGATGACGAGGAGGACGAGGAGCATGACGATGAAGAAGAGGAGGAGGGCGAAGCAAGCGATTTACATGGTTGAAGCAGCGTGATGTTGTGCACGGGCACACATGCCAACAACAGTCTGCGTCCTGTACGACTGCCGCCTTGCATGCGCTGCTGCAATGGGTGTGGCGTCTTCATTTCAACCTCACCCACACCCTTCTCCGCTGCCGTCTGCTGCTGCTATTTGCTGTCGTTGCTGTTGTCGTTGCTGCTGTTGTTGCTGCTGCTGCTGGTTGACTGCAGATGGGCATTTGTATGAGTGCGGAACAGAAAGCTGCTGCGGCACGTAGCGCAGCGCTTGACAGACAGCTCGACCAAGACAGAGCCGCCGCCAGCAAAACCATCAAGTTGTTGCTGCTTGGTGCCGGTGAATCTGGGAAGAGCACGCTGGTGAAGCAGATGAAGATCATTCATGGTGACGGCTTCACCCAGGAGGAGCTGCGCAGCTACAGACCAACCATCGCAGACAACCTCGTGCACTCCATGCGCGCCGTGCTGGAGGCCATGGGTGCGCTGTTCATTGACCTCGGCGACCAGGCCAACCGCGTCCACGCCAAGGCCGTCCTCACATATGTCGAGTCAGGCTCGCAAGGGCAGCTCACCCCGGAACTCACAGCGGCGCTCAAGAGCCTCTGGGCCGACTCCGGTGTCCAAGTGAGTTCATCTGCGCGTTTGGGGTTATGAGGAAGAAGGGGGAGAGCTGAGGGGAAAGGGATATTGGCATATGCACGTCGTTTCGCACAACAGTTTCAGTGGCGTGGTTGGAACTGCGCCACCAGTTTGCATACACAGTATTGTGGGCGAGTTAGTGTGGAACGTTGGGGTTCTTTTCACCGACTGTGATGCGTGCAGCCACCTGTTTCGTCATCACACACACACACACCCATATCACATATGCATGCACACACCCGCCTACTTACCTACTCACCACCAACACCCACGGCATCCCTGCTGCTGCACACACACTCTCTCTCCTCTCTTTCTCTCTCTCTCTCACACACACACACACACACACACACATTCCTTCTCTTCCTCTCGTTTTCTCTCTCTCTATCTTTCTCTCTTTCGTTCAGGAGTGCTTCCGGCGATCAAACGAGTACCAGCTGAACGACTCTGCGGAATACTTCTTCAACAGCATCGACCGCATCTCCTCTCCGAGCTACATGCCCACAGAGCAGGTGCCGCCCGCCACGCGTCTGCTTGTTTCGCCAGTGGTGGACGAGTGGGATGGTGTTGGGGGCGATGGTTGCGGCGGAAGAGTAGAGGAGGGGATGGTGGTGGCGGTGGGAATTGTTCGAGTGCCGGCTGCTTTCTTGTGAGGTGTGAAACTTAGGAAGGGGTAGGCACTCGTTTCATGGGCATGTTCGTTCGTCATACACTGTGCACAATGGCTTTGCTTTGTCTCAACTGCCTGCCCCCTGTTCCTCCTCTCCCCCCCCCCCAAAACAAAAATATCTTGTATTGTTCTGCTTGCCAGGATGTGCTGCGTGCGCGTGTGCGAACGACGGGCATCATCGAGACCAAGTTTACGCACCGGGACCTGACGTACCGCATGTTTGATGTTGGCGGGCAGCGGTCTGAGCGGCGCAAGTGGATCCAGTGCTTTGACGATGTCACTGCCGTCATCTTTGTCGCCGCCCTCAGCGGTTATGACATGAAGCTCTACGAGGACCAGGTGCGCCA